CCAATACCAGAGGCTGTGGCAAATGTCATTCTGCCAACTTTTGAAGCCCTCAGCGAGGAGAGCCTCCTGTTAAAATGCATGCATGGAGACACACAAAACCAAAATGAAAGTATTAATGGACTGATTTGGCAACATGCTACCAAAGAGACACACGCAAGTTTGCCTACAGTTGAAACAGCAACCTTTTTGGGAGTAGCCCATTTCAATGATGGCTCAATGTCCTTGCTTTCTGTCATAAAACAGCTTGGAATTCTGCCTGGAGTCCACTGCATGAAAGCTTGTAGAAAACTAGACAGTGACCAGATTCACCATCCTCATAGAAAAAGTGGGGAGGCTGCCAAGAAACGGCGAAAACAGCTAAGGAAATGGAAAAAAGGACATAATGATTCTTTAGAAGCAAATGAAGGACCATCCTACGTGTCTACCAGCTTTCAACTCAAGATAAAGGAGGCTATCCATATTCAAAAAGAACTACCTTGCCTCAATCAGCAATTACACCATGTAAATCTAAAATTATCCTTTTAATTTACACCTTTTCACATTCTGTTGTTACTATTTGTCTTAATTAGCGTTTTTGTCTACTTATTATTCAACTTGCTTTGTAATCATTCATTCAACGGAACATGACAGACGTTCCGTCGAAACATGTCTTTTAAACTTAAAAAATTGGTCGTTTTCCTTAAAAACATTCCATTTCTGTTTCTAATTTAGTTTACTAACTTTAAGCCTTATTTTCTGAAATATGCAAATTTTCAGGATTTTGAACACTGGGAACGCTCTTTTTAAAAAAGTATATGAGCAAATGATTTGAAATTTTCGGTGTCTTTAGGATAGTAAGAGCTGTGAAATGAGCCACTTTTGCATTGAACTGACCAGTATTTTATGAGTTACTGGCTGTGAACCTCAAGTAATCCAAGGTAAATTTCTCATGTTTATGTAGATAGTCATAACTTTTGACTTATTCAAAGTATTGGCATGAGAGTGGCCCATTTCACAGTTCAAAACAATATGAACTTGCACTGAAAATTTGACAGACAAACTGTGTTTCTCGGCTGAGATATTTGGTTCCCAATATCTACTATTTTGGGAGGTACGGAAATGG